ATACACTCGGCCGATCACCAAGTAGAATGGTCTGTTGAATGTTCCGAGTACAGAGCATTTTCAGAAATTTTCACTTGTCCAACACACTTTCTACAAATATCTTCGACATTTACTCCCTGAGTTCTATAAATAGAGCTTGGCAACTCATTTCAAAGGGTTGAAAAGTTTTTCCTAAAGCTCATAAGAGCCTTTTGACCATTCCCTCTCTTGGCCACATCTTCTACGTACCACCCTTGGCTTTGGACATCAAAACTCCTTTGAAGCTTGATCCTAAGCTCCTTGCTAAGACTCTTGGACATTAAACAATACATCTAAAGTGGCTTGAAGGAATAAAAATGGAGTTTGTGAATTAAAAGGACTTATTCTCGTAGGAGGTGATATTCTCATACCTTTAATCATTTTTTTTTCATTATGTAATTGTTGTAGAGATGTAACAAGTCCTCATGGATGTGGAGAGAGTAGATTTAGCCACCCATCCATTGATTGATAACTTTTTCTTTACTTTCTTGCTTTTTTTGGTTTTAATTTCAAGTTCTTATGTACCTTGGACCCTTGTGAATGTGTTTAGTGGTAGCTATTAGCCATCCATTCAGAAGTTCAATAAGTAGAGTAGCTTTTCTTCTTGTTACGCTCATCCTCTTCACCTATCATACCTCTCAAGTGTATAATTCATGTGTTTCAACTCCTTACTCAATGTCAATGAGTGCTAGCGGTTGTTTTATAGGATTGCTTAGGTGATCCATAGGATTTGATGTTGAGAAGTGATGTCCTTACCTTTTCATGGAGTATTTTGGGAAGTAAAACAAGAGATTTTGGGTCAAAGAAAGTTGAAACCTTTCTTCTCAATCATTTGTGAACATAGAAAGGGGTGTAACCATCCTTGTTCTATGACTAGATGAGGAGTTTTTAATAAATTGGATGAATCCCTTGTTTTAATAAGTAAAGCTTCGACCAAGAAATAATTTGCATTAATCTACGCTTTCCACTTGATAGCATGGATTTGGGTATTGATTTGCTCTTATTCACAAAGAGATGATGTAGGTTCCTATCTATTTCTTGAGCTTGGATTTGTTCTTATTTTTGATTTAGTTAATTATTGGTTTATTGCAAAATATCAGTTGTATATATCTGTTTATATTATTGTTGAGGGTTATAGCCCATCTACCTCTTTTCCAATTGATCCATGTAAACAGAGGGGGTAGAAGGGATGAACACCTCTCAGAAAGTGTCTTTTGGCTTATGTTCTAGTATTTTTTCACTTACCTAAATCACAGCCGGAAGAAGAATTTGGCCGACCACTTTCCCGTTCAGTTAGCTCATTTTGTGTTTAGTTGGACATCTCCTCCCAAGAACAGAGCAAACAGTTTCTGGGGAGTGCTTTCTTGGGTAGTTCTGGAGCTTCTGATGGTTTATTGGATTTATTTAACATAATTTGTTAGATTCAGCAATAGTTTGGCTGAATCCATTTATTATTGTAATAATCTCTCTCTCTCTCTCTCCCCCTCCCCCATCATTTCTTATTCGAATTGTTGTAATAACTTTCAACCCTATATCTTTCTAACCCTTTTATTTACCTGTTTCCCGTGTATGTTGTATAGCATAATGTTTTATTCATCATACCTATACACTGCATCCATTTTTCATGCATCTGGGTCCGATTCATCTGAATTTGTGAAATTTGTTATTTTTCAAAACGAGTATGTGCGTGGTCCCATGTCTTGAGATGATATCCATGTCATATCTTAGCATTTGGACTCCTAGGCGCATGTCGCGTATGTATTGCATTAGTTGATTGTATATAGGATCATGCATATGTACATACCAAAACATTTCTTGGGACTTACCTCGAAATACTATGTGAGAATTTTTAGCTTTGGTTTTAGCATATTGCATGCGCATGTTCCTTATTACATCTGTTGTTAAGTGTTTAGATGAGATATCAGTTTCAATGCCAGTGGATAGAGCTTGTATTGCTAATATTAGAACGTAATTGATTTGTATGCTTTTGAGTTTGTACAAAAAGGCTTTTTCAAAAATGCATGAAATTAAATCATAACCAAAATTAGTGACACAATCTATATTTGATTACCTCAAATAGTAATGGTATCATTATTAATAACCATAACATTTTTTGGGTGAATAAAAAAAAATGTTCTAGTTATTAATAATGATACCATTACTATTTGAGGTAATCAAATAGTAATGAATAACCAGAACATGAATATATATTAATTATAAAAATCACATCATAATCTAGTAGAGGCTAATTTTCTGATCGGGTGAGGGCACTACAGGAAATGCCACTTTTGGCGACCAAAATATTGGTCGTCAAAAGCCCCATTTTTGGTCGCCGAAACAATTAGCGACTAAAATATTTTGTCGCCAAACTAGTCGCCTATACCCTGTCGGCGATAGTATTGGCGACTAAACTATTTTTGGTCGCTGAAAGTGAACGTTTTGGCTACTAAACTCTGGTTAGTCGGCAAAGGTTATCTTTTGGCGACTAAAATATTAGTAATCAATGACCTTTACCTTTCATATCTAAATTCCTAAGTTGAGACATTTTGGTTATGACGGATGGTGACCTTTGGCATGAGTCATGTGTTTTCTAATTTTCCCAAAAGATTAGTGGTAACTCTAAAATATGGTGATGTAAGTCCATTAATTTCTGGCAAATGTTTTGTAATAAAATGAATTTTCTATAAAGGCTGCTGGATCTGGACTCTCATTTTCTGTTTCATATTGCACTATTGATATATGTTGAATTTATAAAAGTATGTGTTTTGGTATTCATTTCCCTTTATTTACCTCTCTTTTTGACATTGAAAACTTCATAGAGATTTTAAGTTCTCTTAATGGAGGCAAAACAAGAATCATGAGGTTTTTTAATCCATTTGAGTTTCACACAACCTCCTATTTTAGAAGTCGAATTTTTCCAATTACATTTCCACAACTTAGGCACTATTGACTTGACACCTACAAATCATGCAAAACTTTATGATTTTGGTCAAAACTTATGTTTTAATAAAAAAAATAAATATTTTTATATTTTTTTGCACGAACACTGGTATAATTAGTTTTCAAGTTTTAATCAGATTTAATTAAGCATGTAAGGAAAATGTCCTCTGCTCTTATAACGGGTAAGCTATGAGTTTGGTTGGAAGAAAATGAGAGAAAATGACTCTGACGGATCCCATTGAAAATAATTGAATCTAGAATGCTACTACTAGAATACACCAGAACTAGTAGTGGAAGAAAAGGATAAAAAGGAGAAAGAATATATGCATACATGCTTCTTTATAGTACTTTGATTTTATGCTGACAATACTGCCCATGATTGTAATTTATATGCACAATAGTTTCTCTAAAACTTTTTTTCTATTTTTTTTTATTTGGGTACAAATTTAAAAAGATTAAAAAAAAAAATTGAGTAAAACGTAAATGAAATATAATTATATTTCACACGTTTTTTTGCATAATTTTTTTCTTTATCATTTTTAAATTTCTACTTAAATCTATAAACTAAACACATCGTAAAAGTAATTTAGTGTTTTTTGATTTCACACGAGAGATAACTGTTTGAGATATTCTAAAACAGATGTTGCCAAAATTTTGTAACAACTTAAAACTTTGGGATAACTAATGATCTACCATTGTGTACTAGCCCAATTTAAGAGCCTTGGTCAAATCTCTCTGTTTGTATTTTTGTTTTGGGTTAGGTTTTTTCCATATTTACATTTCTATATAAGAGAATTTAAGAGATCTATAGTGTCTACCACAAGTTCCGTTTTGATGATTCAAACTGTTATTTTTTACGACTCGTTGAATAGAATATTCATGCAAAAAATCAAGATGATTGGATATTGATAGCTATATGTTTGAATTAAAAGTGTATTACAAAAAATGTATAGTTATTCTTGAAATTATATTTATCATCTATTTTTTAAAATAAATATGATTCAAATATATAGTTACTGATATCCAATCATCTTAATTTTTTGCATGAATATTATATTCAACAAATCTAAAAAAATAAACGATTCGGATTATTAAAATCAATTCCAAAATGAACCTATCACCAAAATACTTTTTCAAATTAAGATAACGATTTAAGAGAAGCCAAACTTTTTGTTTTTATTTATTTATTTACATCCTATTTCTCTTTATAACATGTTTGAGCATGAGGAAAGGTATTAAAAAGCGTGATATGCATTAATTATTGAGCTCTTTTTTTTTTTTTTCGAACAGAGAACATATTCTCTTTTAGTCCAAAATTTGGATATGAGAGTGTTTTCTTGTGCCATACAGCTCATCATAGGTCCATTTCAATGATCCACACAGTTCATTTAGTAGAATCTTTTTCGTATATTATTCATACAAAAAATTAAATTTATCTGATAACTGTAACATGTTCAATTTATCGTATTTGTGTCTTCAAAAATGGAATTTTTTAATTAATTAATTTATTTATTTTTTATGATAAATGCAATAAATTAAATATGTTCCAATTACTGAATCAATCTAATTTTTTTGGTGGATGATAATATGATATATATAAATGGACTTTATAAAATGAACAACTCGAATTATTGAAACAAAATCCATCATCTATCCCATGAAGCTCGGATAACATATTCCAATTCAGATTTAGACAGGAGGGAAGCCAGCCGGAAAAGTAATTGGGATCTCACAAGAACACAGCTAAAGTTGTAGTGAGGCTTCATTTTAGGGCAGTTGATGTTAGAATACAATACAAGACAAATTTTGTCTGTCCAATTTCATGAGAGATCAGCAGCAACCGTCACAAGCAGCAGATTCAGCTCAATTTTGCTCCAACTCATAGTGGATAAAAAGGAATAATAAATCCACAAAGCATAAGAATTTAAGAATCTGACTTTCATGCCTATTACTTTATGTCGACACAAAGGACCAGTGGTGTAGTAAATTGTGCTTCCCTCTTTTTTCCCTCTATATAATGCAAGAGATGAGATAACATTTTTGCATATATTTGCTTTGCATTACTGAAAAAAAAAAAAAAAAAGATTTGAACTTGAATGGCTCAACTGGGTTCTCTCTCTGCTGAAACTGAGACACTGAGCCATGTCTCCAGACTGGTGGAGGCGTTCAGGGCCTTTGACTCCGACAACGATGGCTCCATCACTGCTGCAGAGCTTCGTGGGATCATGAGCTCACTTGGGTACTGTTCTAGAATTTTAATAAAAATAAAATTAGTGTGGAATTATTTAGTTGTTTGGCCATTACAGAACTACTATTTGTTTTAAATGATTCTGTTACAAAATTGATATGGTGTATTCAAGTGTGCCATTATTCAAAAATGTTAACAGGTTAATGTAAGCATTTGTGTGTGCTAAACTCTGACCACACAACTAAACTTCGATTTTTCTTTTGTAATTATGGGAACGAAGCCACAGAGCATATGTGCACACTACAAGAAAATACACCTTTGGCGACTAAATTTTTAGTCGCCAAAAGTCCCTTTTTAGTAGCCAAATGTCAAATTTCCACTTTTCCCGACAAAATCTTTTAGTCGCCGGGTTTGTCGCGAACAGACAGTCGGCAATACGTTTGGCGACTAAAAAACATTTAGTCGGCAATACACAGGTCTTCTGCGACTAAGGTTTTAGTCGCCAATAGTTAATTAATTTTTTTATTATTTATACATTTGGCGACTATTTTTTCCGTCGGCAATGCTCAATCTTTTGGCGACCACAGTGTTTAGTCGCCAAAAGCATTTTTGAAAGAAAAAAAAATTTCCCTTTGTGCCTTCAGACAAGCTTCGAACCTGAGACCTCCAGGTTTCCAAACCTTAACCACACGGTCCAACCCACTATGCCACTGAACCATCTCATGATTATAGTTGCAACTAATATTATTTATATATTACTTTCACTAGTATTAATACAAAACTATATATATAAATGTATTTATATATATTCAAATATAATTTATGTAAAAAATAAATTATTTATTAAAAAAAATTTAGATCACTTTTGGCGACTAAAAAAATTATTTAGTCGCCAATTCTATTATTTTTGGGCTACTAATTAATTTTCCGTCGCTAAAGAAAGCTATTCCGCCTAAAAACCTACCCTTTTGGCGACTAAACCTGTTTTTAGTCGCCAAAAACCTCCCCCTTTGGCTACTAAAGTGAATTTTAGTCGCCATAAACCTGTTTTCAGCTACTAATTTTTTTTTAGTAGCTAAAAAGCTTGACCTTCAGCGACCAAACTGGGTTTAGTCGCCAAAACCTTAATTTTTGGCTACCAAATGGTTTTAGTCGCCAAAAACCCTAACCTTTGGCTACTAAAAATTTTTTAGTCGCTAAAAACCCCCCCTTTGGCGACTAAATTGCCTTTTAGTCGCTAAAACCATTGCATTCGGCGACTAAACTCTTTTAGTCGGCAAAAGTGACCAATTTTGGCGACTAATTCCATTTTAGTCGCCAATTCTACGACTTTCAGCGACGAAAATTCTCATTTTAGTCGCCAATAGTGTTTTTTGTTGTAGTGGCATCTAGCCCGGTTGCTCATCAATCCTCTCAAAAATAATCCGATAGAGTAATAATCAACTCAAATAATAAATTGCATAACTTACACCCACGGGTGGGACATGATGTTACTTTTGTGCTTGATGCATAGTGATGAATGTTGTGTGGTCTATAAGACTTGTTTTGAGTCTTATTTTGATGATATAAACCATTCAAATTTTAGAGAATATCAAGAAGAATATACCTGTAAAAAACAAGTTAATTGAATATCGGTAACCCTTTCATCAAAACACATATGTATATATATATATATATATAAAGAATATGTATGCATCAAACTGAATACAAATGTAATTTGATGAACGTGTTGCCAATATCCACTACAAGAAAAAACACTTTCCGTGACCAACATTTTGGTCGCGAAAAGTACCATATTTGGTTGCTAAAACCTTTTTGCGACCAAAATATGTTGGTCGCAAGTTGGTCGTTAAAGCCTCGTCACAGATAGTTTTCTGCGACAAAAAAAGCCTTTGGTCGCTAAAAGTGACCATTCCCGACCAACTTTTTTGGTCGCGGAAAGTCCAATTCATATTAGCCAAAAGTAAACTTTTAGCGACCAAAGATAAGTTGGTCGCCAAAAGTCAGCACCTTGACCCAAAAACAATAATTCTTTTGGGCTGCCTGGGACTTGAACTCCTAACCAAGGAGTCACTATGCACTCAATCCACTCTGCCAATAGCATGCTTCTTGTTCATAATTGGCAAAAAATATATAACCCATAAAAATTAGGTTATTTATTATTTTGTAAAACTTTTAATGCCTAAACAGAAAAATAGCATGTAATTACAGTAGTATCATTTTTTTTTAAAATTTATCCCACCATAACTTTCTGTGACCAACTTTTTTTTTTTTGGTCGCCAAAGGGTAATCTTCCGCGACCAAAAAAGCCTTTGGTCGCCAATAGTATACTTTTCGCGACCAACTTTTTTTTTTTGGTCGCCAAAAGGTGATCTTCTGGGACCAAAAAAGCCTTTGGTCACCAATAGTATACTTTCTGCGACCAACTTTTCTTTTGGTCGCCAAAGGGTAATCTTCCGCGACCAAAAAAGCCTTTGGTCGCCAATAGTATACTTTCCGCGATCAACTTTTTTTTTTGGTCTCCAAAGGGTATACTTTCTGTGACCAACTTTTTTTTTGGTCGCCAAAAGGTGATCTTCCGCGACCAAAAAATCTTTTGATCGCCAATAGGTATACTTTTCGCTACCAACTTTTTTTTTGGTCGCCAAAAGGTGATTTTCCGCGACCAAAAAATTGTGGTCACCAAAAGTTAAATTTTGGTCACAGAAAGTGGACTATTTGCGACCAAAAAAAATAGGTGGTCTCCAAAAGTGTTTTTTCTTGTAGTGATCCGATTAACTTGATTTTTTATAAATATATTGTTCTCGATATTTTTTAAAATTTGAACGGTTGATATCATCAAAATAAAATTCAAAATGAGTATCATAGGCTATACAACAGTCTTCGTTGAGCATGAAGCACAACAGTGACCCCAATTCCCACCGGTGCCTAAAGTGTGCCTTGCTTCCTTGTAGTCATCATGTTTGTAACAAACTCTTAGAGAATGTTTGGTATAATGGAATGAAATGAAGCATGTTTGGTATAATGGAATGAAATGAAGTGAGAAGTGAATGAGAATGAGAATGAGAATGGAATATAAGGTTGAATAGAATGGAATGTATATTCCCATTCCATTATTTGGTTGCCAATATGGAATGACATAGGAATAGCATGATAATTCTCATTCTCATATTTGGTTATGCTTATTAAACTCATGAAATGGAATAAATTATTATTATTATTATTAACAAGCATAGATCATGATAATGTTGATAGTTGTAGTGGTGGTAGCACCGGTGACGACATCAGTGGTCGTGATAGCAAGGATAGTAGGATGGTGGTAGTGGTGGTAGTAGGTTATTGTGGCCTTAGTGGTGGCGGTAAGGTGGTGTTGTGGTTGCGATGGTAGCGACGGTGGTGGTGGTAGTGGGCAATGGTAGTAGAGTGGTGGTTCTCGCAATGATGATGGTAGTGGTATAATGTTTATGAAGGCGGTAGTAGCAGTGGTAAGGTAGTGGTTGTGGCAGCAGAAGCAGTGGTGGTAGTGGGAACGGTGGTAGTAGGTTAATGGTTCTAACGATGTTGATAGTGGTGGTTTTATGGTTGTAGATGTGGTGATAGTGGTTGTGACAGTAGTGGTGGTAGTAGTGGCAATATCGGTAATATAGTGGTGGTGGTATGGCAGTTGTGGCGGCAACTATGGTAGTGATTGTGGTGGTGGCAATAGGGTGGTGGTGGTGGTAGTTGTGGTGGAATATGTGGTAGGAGAATGGAATGGTGGTAGTGACTAAATAATAATATATTTTTTAAGTGTCAATAAAAATAATGATAATAAAATGTTACGGTAATTCCATGATAAGATGAAATGACCATTCCTTAAATTTGAGGAAGGAATAAGTATTCTCACATTTGGTTGGAATAGTCATTCGAATGACATGACTATTCCTACTTAGATATGGCGCACCAAACAAGGGAAAATGAATGCAAAGTTAGAATAGACATTTCATTCCAGCCCATTCTATCATACCAAACGTACTCTTATTTTCTTTATGAATAATAAATCACCTAAGGTTCACCTCTTTTAGTTGGATTAGGATTAACCCTTCTAATGATTCCCATCATATCCAACATAGGAGTCGACATTCAACATTTTTATCATCGTACCAACATTATCATTATCATAATTTTCATCTTGTGTACATGACTTGGCTGTCGAGATGCATTAAAAATTTATATAGATCATGATAATGTTGATAGTTATGGTGGTAGCAGCGATGGTGATGACATCGGTAGTCGTGATAGCAATGATAGTAGGCTGTTGGTATTGGTGGTGGTAGGTTATTGTGGCCTTAGTGGTGGCAGTAAGGTGGTGTTGTGGTTGCGATGGTGGTGATGGTCATGGCAGCGGCCGTGGCTAATTGTAGTAGAGTGGTGTTTTTCGCAATGGTGATGGTATTGGTGTAATGTTTATGAAGATAGTAGTAGCAATGGTAAGGTAGTGGTTGTGGCGATGGAAGCAATGATGGTAGTGAGAGCAGTAGTAGTAAGATAGTGGTTCTAATGATGCTGATAGTGGTGGTTTTATGGTTGTAGATGTATGATAGTGGTTGTGGCTGTAGTGGTGATAGTAGTGACAACATCAGTAATACGGTAGTGGTGGTATGGCAGTTGCGGTAGCAACCATGGTGGTGGTGGTGGTGGTGATCATAGTGGTGGCAATAGGGTGGTGGTGGTGGTGGTGGAATATGTGGCAGGAGAATGGAATGGTGGTAGTGGCTAAATAAAAATATATTTTTTTAAGTGTCAAAAAAAAAAAAAAAATAATAATAATAAAATTTTATGGTAATTCTATGATAGAATGAAATGGCCATTTCTCAAATTTGAGGAAGGAATAGACATTCTCACATTTTGTTGGAATAATCTTTCGAATAGCATGACTATTTCAACTTAGATATGGTGTACTAAACAAGGGAAAATGAATGCAAAGTTAGAATGTGCATTCAATTCTAACCTATTCTATCATACCAAATGTGCTCTTATCTTTATGAATAATAAATCACCTAAGGTTCACCTCAATTAGTTGGATTAAGATTACAAAAATGTTTCAGAGCTCTAATCTAGGAGCTCCAGGGGAGCACTAACTAGGGGGTCCCACATCATGATGTGATGTTTTACTTTTTTGTTTTTTTTCTCCACTGCCGACTTATTAGAACTGACTCTAGAATTGCTGATTTAGAACTTCGAATCAAAACTGTTAAGATTAACCCTTCTAATGATTCCCATCTGATCCAACATAGGAGTCAGCATTCAACTAGGACTATTGTCCTTTTTTGTACATCTCAGATCTGGTGTGAATCTTTTCCACACCTCGGCGGCCAATTCACGTAGACAAGACAAAAATTTTATCCCACAGATTTCGAATTATTTTAGCATAATTTAGTGGCAAATAATTTAGATATGTGTTTAATATTTTATACATTTATATGATTCAGGCTTCAAGTTGCCCAGGATCTTTGCCTAAGTCAACAGGTGAGAAGGTGCCTGGGCTAATAGGTGAACTGCAGCAGCTTATCCTTGTCATTGTTTTGGTTTATAATTTGGTTCACCTGTCAGTGCCACAGTCCTGGGTCTTGGTTTGGCCTCATTTGGTTCATAATCTGTTGGGTTAATCTGTTCTGTTTTTTTGTATTGATTGAAGTGTTGGGTGAACTCTGGTTTGTCTGCTATGAAGTTTTGTGGCTGCATAGTCTTCATTATAGTTTTTGTTCAGCTTTTGTCAAGTATTATGTGAAACCATTAAGGTGAGAAGGTGACTGAGCTAGTAGGTGAACTGCAGCAGCTTATCCTTGTCATTGTTTTTGGTTTATAATTTGGTTTACCTGCCAGTGCCACAGACCTGGGTCTTGGTTTTGCTTCATTTGGTTCATAATCTGTTGGGTTCATCTGGCTTCTATCTGCTCTGCTGCTGGGCCTACACTTGGAGTCCTGTACTTGGAGCTTATTGTTGAGGAGTTTGGTTCTGGCATTGATTGAAGTTTTGTGGACAACATTTGTCTTGGTTTGTCTGCTAAGAAGTTTTGTGGCTGCATAGTCTTCATTATAGTTGATATATCTGCTTTTGCTCTTTGTTGGTTTCTTACCAGCTAGGAGCTTCGAGCTTCCGCTAGCTCCTAACTCCTCCTTGTTGATATAAATTTTCATCCTTTGTATGTTTCATCAATAAAGTTTTCTTTTGCCGATCCAAAAAACAAAAAAAGAAAAAAAGAAAAAAGAAAAAAGAAAAAAATAAAAAATAAAAAATAAAATTGATTTGACTTCCTGAATTTCTACCCAATTCAGCATGGAATTAAAAAATATGTTCAAACTTCAAAATTTTCATTTGTTTTGTATTGGTATATTTACATGGGAAGAAACATTAACTTTAGAATAATAACTTCACGCCTCTCATTTTTAATGCCAGATCTTTTGCCTTTATTTTCTGTTTATGCTTGTTGATTTTTGCAATTTTTATATTAATCTATATCATTACATAAATTGATTCTAACAGGTACAACCCAAGCGAAGAAGATGTGGAGGCAATGATGCAGAAAGGAGACAAAAACAAGGATGGTGTGCTGAGCATTGAGGAGTTCTTGGAGATGAACACAAATGAGTTGGGACTTGGTGGCCTCCAAATTCATCTTACAATCGCTCTCCAAGCTCTGGATGTCGCAGACGATGAGGACTTGACGGCCAAGGAGTTGCATGAGGTTCTTGGGAACATGCAAGGTGGTGACTTGTCTCTCAACTTTTGTGAGGAAGTTATCGCTTCCATGGATAGGGATGATGATGGTGCTATTAGTTTTGAGGACTTCAAACTTATAGTTAATGCCCTCCTCTAGTCCTCTAATTTACAAGCTATAGCCTTGGATTGCATGGTTAAGGTAGAACAAATATGTATGGCAATAATCTCCAAGAGTCTGTATGGAGCTTTGTTCTTCTGTCAGATATTATGATAAAAGTTTTTCATAATGGTATGTGATAAAAAAAGTCAGATGATAGTGAAATGATGAACTTCTGTCCTCGTTCTTCAATTTGTGTCGTATAATCATAAACATAATTTTGAATAATCATAAGCCGGCACTGGAATTAGCTATGTGGAGATCTTGTGATTCTAATTCATGAATGAGCTGAGAAACAATGAAATTAGATTATAACATTTATGAACGATTTTATAGCCTAAATTGAAACTCCATTAATAAAGCTCCAATCAATTATAATATATATGTGTGGGAGGTGAAATTCGAACTACTACTTTGTCACGCAAAGCATTGGCGGAGCAGAACATGTGACAAGATTCCCGAGTTGTTTGGACGATTAAGCAGCCAAGCTCCTTCCTAGGTCGAACGACTAAGTTCTAGCAATGGGTGGATGAGGTCGAATGGGAAGTCCACTTTCGTGTGAAAATGTATCATCCATTCCAAGAGCATCGCAAACGTGGGGTATATCCCCACAAAAAGTGAGACAATGAGGGAAGTGCCAAACATTTCTCAACTAACCACTACGGTCAGTGAAGCTCAATTATGAGTAAGTGCATACACATCAAGCCAGGTAAACAATCAGAAGCATTAGAGAGTCCCTGGCTACTGACTCTAGTCATAGTATTTTTCATTTGAATTTGAAGGAAGCAACTTGCGGAGAGATTTTCCGACACTGTCTAAACAATGTGGTAAGTTTTTTTCCCCACAGAATGAATAAATTGATATAAAATAATATTTATAATGTATATAATAATGTGATTTTCACTTCTGAATCCTGATTTAAGTTTAGAAACTAACTGGAGCTTGATAATATTTACTGAGCCAAGCTCCTGCATGAATTTGTGCACCAATAATAAACAAATTGAGCTCGAACGCAGCCTTTTACTTAACTCAGCCCGATTCATTTGTAGACACTACTCGTCACAATTTTTTTTATTACATAAAAAAATATCACACAACATATCATAGCTAAATTTTTTTTTGACTCGACAATTAAACTCCGTGGATGCAAAGGCACTCAAGGCGACAAAGATGCCAGTTGCTCTACTCATCAAATTTTCATGTCATAAGTTAGTTCATTAACAATACGTTACAGTGCTCCTCAATTCCTTCTCATTCTTATAACATGAACGAACCAAATCACATCTTCCCAAATTTTTAAAACTCTCATGTGTGCAAAATGTTTCCCTAGATCAACATATTCCCTAAGAATGACAAAAATAATTGCATTACCAATAGTTCATTATCACACAACACCCAAACATGAAAACACCAAAATATTTAACTAGTAACTTTTTTTATTAATCAATGAAAATAATGATAATTTTTTAATAAGTTTTTCTTTTTTTTTGGTGATCGTAATGCCAATAAAAGAGTAATTTATACATTGACATATTTTTTTAAACAAAAAATGTTTAAGAATTTAAAAAAAATTATTTCTAAATTTATACCTATTAAGTTGCATGTAAATTATTAATTGAGAAAAATATTTTAAAAATAATGTTTGGTTTGTGTTTGAGAGATGTGTTTTAGAGATAAAAAGTACGAAAAGTTGTTTGGTTTGGTTTTTTTCAAAAGATGTTTTGGAAAATTATTTTGAGAGAGAATTTTAGAAAAAATGATTGATTTGATGTGTGAGAGAGAGAGATTTGTTTGGAAAACTTGTTTGGTTTATAAGTTTTGAGAAATTTTTTTGAAAAAATTTGTTTGGTTTGACTACTTTTAAAAACTTATTTGTAAAGAAAATTTCCTAAAAATTTTTCAAAAATACAAACCAAACGAACCATATGGGTGTCCTGCATTTGTTTTTTTAAAATGAAAAAATACACCAAACCAAAGTTGTCACCAAGTTCACACCCAACCCAACCCACGTTAAGTGAGTGCAATGATGGATCAAGGGGTAGATGGGAGTGACCGTAGCTCAAAAAAACTTGAAAAATATAAAATATTATATTAAAAAATTTTAAATAATTAAAAATTATGAAAACTTATACTAGCAAATATATTTTCGCACCCCAAATAATGAGTGCTTATAGATAGAATGACAAATCTTTCGTCCCAACCAAATTATTGACTTACCCACTTTGACAAGACCTCAAAAAAACAAACAAATAACAATGAAGTTAGACAAATGGGTGGTGGTGGGATTGTTAGTTGTTCCACTCTTTATACTTATCTGCCCAACTACTAGTAGTTGTTGTTGTTCAAGAATCAAAACCAATACTCATAAGGCGATAACAGCAATGCCAATCAAGTCCATGGATGGTCAATGGAGCGGCGGTGGTTCCGGCCAACAGGGAGGGTGGAACTTCTGGTGCGGCAGCGGAGCATCGCCTGACGGTAGGTGGGATTACCGGTGGGGTGTTGGTTCGGGCCCTGGTGGTAGCACTTGGGCTTTTGGCTCGAGTTCCGGTCAGAGTGGTGGTGGTGGTGGTGGTGGGTTCGCAGTCGGATGGGGCAGCTCCAGTTCAAACGGCGGCGGCGGCGGGGGTTTTGGATTTTATGACGGCGGCGGCCGTAGCGATGGCAGCTTTGGGTCTGGGCATAGTGGCGGTGGCGGCTGTGCTGGTTTGAATTTTAATGCGAGGTTTGATGACGATGGTGGTGGTAGTGGTTGTCATAATCCTCCTAGCCAACCCGGGTCCAATGTTAATAACAATCGTGCTGCTGGCACCAGACCTAGCATGAATTAATGTGTCCGTTCTATTGTTTATATAAATATATATAGTTGATTATGTATTTCACAGTACTTTCTATGTACTTTAAGCTTTGTTATTTGCCAAGCTAATAAATTAGCATTATAATAAAATTTTATAGATCTTTATATATAGAATATTGTTATTGAAATCTAAAAATTATATTCAATTTTTAATTTTAATCATGTGACAATCAGGATATTTAAATTAATATTTTCTTTTATATCTTTTCTAATAATTAATCAATTATATCAGTTACACATAATTAGGTTTAAGTCTAAAAAGGAAATTTATATATCATTTTACTTGAATATATATTATAAGCATCAATAGTTCTAAATTCTATGTATATATAAAATGTGATTGACTAAGAAAAACCTCGACTAAGTTTACGGAGTAGGAAAAACTTGATTAAAAAGTTGTTTATAATTCATATGTAGAGTGTAGATCTGATTATCGTGTTGTTAAATTACTTTATGAATAAATCTTAATCTTAAATTTTAAATGATGAGTAATTTTTTTTTTCTTCATTTTCTTGGTTTGAAATTAGCAAGTCTAATGGATATACAGAGTTTGGTCTAAAATTAGCCATTTTTAACTAGTCTAAAAAACTATTAAGTTTGGACAATTTTCTTGTGGAAAAACCAGCAATAGCAAACGAAATTAGCACCACATCCTTTTACTACCTCCATTACTAATGATCATCCCAAATGTAGTTGAGCCTGACTCTATTACGAGATCAGAATTTTCACGAATTAAGTTGCCTCATCTATTTGGTCGTCACACAAAGGTGAGATAGCATTTGGCATAATTTTTAAATAATGATTTGGATTTCAATTTTTTTTTTAAATAATAACTAAACAAAATTTTCAAAACTCAATTCAAAAATATTTTTCAAAATTTATAACCAAACTCTTTTCAAAACTCTATTTAAAAAAAAAAAATCAAAAATTATTTTTTTAGTTTGATCTATAAAATTATATTTCATTTTTTATATTTTTTCAAAAAATATTTTATTTTCTTTTGTTTCTTCCAAAAAAATATATTTTTTTTTAATTTTTTAAAGTATTGGCAAAATAATTTGTTATGATTTAGGTATATATCGGCGATCCAAAATCTTTTAAAATTGAATTTGTTTTTTTTTAAAAAATCAATATTAAGAAAAATATTTAAATATTAAAAAATATATTTAAATAAAATACAACGCACAAATGTAGTACATACAGTGCACATTAAAAAAAATAAATATTTAAATAAAAAATAGGGTTTTTTTTTTAAGATCCCTGATATTAAGATTTTATACGATAAAGGATATACAATATTTTTATAGTAGTTAAGGTCCTTCAACATTTTCATAAAGCAAATTTGACTCAGAGAAATTTGGCTTGACTCAGAGAAATTTCTCTAATTTCATATTACACAAATAAATTTTTACAAAGAAATTTCTGTAAGTGGGGTAAAATTTTTCTGAGTCGGGCAAAATTTCTCTGAGTCAAATTTTCTCTGCAAAAATGTTGAGGGACCTTAGCTAATAAAAAAAATATCTTGGACCTCTCATATTACACAAAATTGGAGAGGGATGAGAGGGATGTTTTACTAATTTTTCCTAAAAAACATTTAACCTGAAAAAATAAAAATAAGAAATTTTTTAAATCTTAAAAAAAAAAATACCCAAAACAATTTTAAAATACAATTCAAATTTTTTTTCAAAACTCATAACCAAACAGGTTTTCTCTTTTCAAATCTCATTTCAAAAACTTATTTTTCAAAACTCATCTCAAAACTCAATCTCATTTCAAAAACTCAATCAAATGGAAATCAAAATAACTTTTTTTAAATAAAAAAAAATGTAGCATTTGGTTAAGTTTTGGAAACATGATTTCAATATAAAAAAAATTCAAAACTCTTTTTAAAATTCATAACCAAACACTCAATTCAAAAATTCTTTTCAAAACTCATAACAAAACTATATTTTTCAAACCAAAAATAAAAAATAAATAAAAAAATTCAAAGAAAATATTTTTTATTATTTTTGAATTTTTTTGAAATTTTTTTTTTTGAAATTTTTATTTTATTTTTTTGAAAAAAATATTTATTTTTTATTTTTTTAAGTATTAACCAAATAATTTGTTATGATTTAGATATGTTTAAAAAAGCAATCATAAAAAAATTAAATATTTTAAAAAATAAAAAATATATTTAGAATATTTAAAAATAAAATAAAATATTTAAAATAAAAAATAAGAAAATATTTAAAATTAAATTATATATTTAAAATAAAAAAAGATTTTTGTATAAATAAAATGTGTTTAAAATATTTTTTTAAAAAATATAGTGCACAAATGTATTAAATACAACGCATATTAAAAAAAAATTAACTAAAAAAATATGGGAGACTTATTAGAAAATTCTTTTTCAAGTATTTGTATCCCAATTAGTTCATAAAATATTCTTATATTCCAATAAATTCTATTATTTGAACATTTGATCTACCAAATCATAATTATCATATTTAAAGTATTTTATGGACATTTTTACTCTTATAAATATTTTTTGAACGGTTAGCAATTTGGTAATGTAAACATTCATATTTTACAATTTGAATATTCACATTAACGGCGTGAACATTCACATTATGGAACATTCATACTGTAAATATAAATATTATGAGGAATATTTTGGTAACTATGTCATTCACATGACTTATTGAAATATAAGAAAATAATGTGGACTAAATGGAACATAAGTAGGTGAAAAAGGATTTATGAAAAAATGTCCCAAAAGATATTTAGGGAGCTTTCTTGATAAATCCCATTTCTAAGAGTTTTATACCATAAAACCTAAACCGTTTTTGATTATTCCCTTAGGTCCCATTAGTATAGTAAGAGCAAACTACCCTCAATATCTTCCACATCTATTCCATTCTGAAATCAAAACCGATCTTATTCTATTGTCCTTTCAGATTTCACTTCAGAAATCACTCATTCCCAAAACCGTCATCGTTGCCCCCCCAAAACTCCCAAATCGTAACCCTGGGTTTCACATCACTTTACTACCATTCTACCATCATCCACCGTCGGCCATCGTTGCTAGCCACTGGTATTCCAAATTGACTCACCACTGCGAACATTTACATCGATTCAACTATGGTTTGTTCTTTCTATCTAACCGTGTTTTGTTTGTTGATGGTTGACTGTCTTTTGACTTTTTTGACGATTTCGAGAACCCCCCACAATGAGGAGCAAATGCAAATACCATAATTTCATCCTGTCTTTTTCGTTCAATATGAATATAAGCAACCGATGTAAACATTTACGTGTCCTTGTTATTATTGTTTCTTTTTGTTGTGATTTTGTAATGAACTCCCTTTTTTTTCTCCCTTTGTGAATGTTGGTGTTATTGATTGTTAATGGTGATATAATAATTAGAACGCCCAATTTCTTATGTTTTTTTCCTCATCTTTTGGTTAAATGTAAATAGTTACACAGATGATGTAAATATTTACATCATATTGTAATCCTTGTTATTGGGAAACAATCGATGTCAACATTGACATCATGTGCCTAACTAATGTAAACGTTTGCACCATTTGTTGTTGTTATTGATTTTTTGTTGTCATGTGCTATTGTTTTGTGATAAACACCTTATTTCCCCCTTATGTCAATGTTAGACTTGTTGGTGTTGTTGATTGCTGATGGTGATAAAATAATTAGAACCCCCTAATTTCTGATGTTTTCCCCCCATCTTTTGGTTCAATGTGAATTCCTACACAAATGATGTAAATATTTACATCATATTGTTATCCTTGTTATTGAGTGACAACTGATGTCAGCATTCACGTCATGAACATAACTATTGTTAACATTTACATCATCTGTTATTTGTTGTTGGTCTTTTGTTGTCATGTGCTATTATTTTGCAGTAAACTTCTTATTTCCTTCCTTTATGTCAATGTTGGACTTGTTGGTGTTTTTTATTGTTGATAATGATCATATAATTGAAGCCCCCCAATTTCTGATTATTTTCCTCTCTTTTTGTTCAATGTGAATTCATACACAAATGATGAGTAACAACCTATGTAAACTTTCACGTTAGGGGTGTGTAGCTCGGCTTTTTCGCGCCCTCTTTCGGATGCTCGAAAGAAAGTCTTACAGCTTGGACTCCTGCGGTTCTGAATCTAATCTCACAAATGCAATGTGAAATTAATAAACAATAAAGAGTTCAAATCTGGCAAATCTTTTGGAAAATCAATTTTGAATAAAAAATGCCAAAATTAGATTGTTTTTCCAGATACAGAGTCGCTACCTAAATATTTTATTTTGGAAAAATTTAGGAAACCCATGACTCGTGCCAAAGGCCACATGTCCGTCATTACCAAAGTTGCATTGGCTTGGAAACTTAGGTACGAGAGGAGAAGGCCATGAATTGAGCACCTCTGCTCGCCCGATCAAAGATCGGCCTCTGCTAATCATGATATGTTTTTTTATAAACATTATGTGCTCTTGTTCCGGTTATTTGGTTAGCTTTACTATGTGATGCACACATACAAGTATAGACTAGTTTGCTCAATATTGGTAAAATTCAATTTCATGTTTGCTTTTCGAAATGGTTTGAATTTGCCACCTCTAGTGGGCTTAAAGTTTGCGAATTTGCCACTCAACAAAGTGGTCTTAAACATACATTCGTTGAATCGTTCCAATTCAAACAACAAACCTTCAACCACAGGCATTCGAGTAGTTTAGCCTCATGGCAAGCATGCTAATCATAGCAATCACTCACACTCATGCAAATATGCTAAAGCATTAAAACTCACCTAGTACTCCAAGCTAAGAAGATATGAGTTAGAAAAATATGTATGATTCCTAACTATACAAGATGTCTAATGCAACACAAGCAATATGCAATTAATAGGCTCGACTACTAATATGGCATATGAATCAATTAAAGACATGCGGTCTAAGTACATATTCCATGAAGTATTTAAATAACAATGCAGT